AAAACGTGTTCTTTTCGTTCTGTTTTTTTCGTTTCTTTCGTTCGTTTCATTGCAGCTTCAATGGGTGCTCATAAACGCTCTAATTCTGCATTTAAAACAGTTGATAGCGAGCGCTTGCCCTGCTCTCTTTCTGTCCTGTGTTTGTATGTACTGCGTGTTCATATGTTCGCTCTACTTTTTTATTGATTGTTAGCTACATCGCCATTTCACTAAAGCAAGCAGTATGTCACCGTAGCCACACGATAGCTAAAGTTGCCGTAGGTGTTTTATCACCTTCCAGGTCAAGATTTGGCGAACCCTCGTTCATTTGCTTGCTTTCCTTGTGGCCTGGTTGAGGTGCACGCCTAAAAGAAATTATTGACTCGTGATTGATAAGGCGTTACAATAGGGACATTTTAACACTGTCACGTTGGGTTCTTGAAAGGGAAGCTAAAGTTATATTCAAGTGTTTCGTCTGCTTATGGCGCCAAGATATCGTGATGATACTTAGAATCACGGTTAGCTGAGCTAGTTGGTACGTAGTGATCTAAAAAGACAGGGCATGCAAACACGGGCACAATAAGGAGGTCAGGACACCCCATACGTCAGGACACCACCTTCAGTTGTTATCAGGCATTTCTATTGTCCTGACGTTCTTCTTGTGGCCCTGTTTTCATGCCCTCGCTTTTTAAATTGAGGATGCCACAATGCCATTAGGAAACATCAGTATTGCTTTCCCTTTGTTTAAGGTTAGATAAGACCACTAAAACAGTCATTGAGTCTCTATGTGGAGATATACACCATTTACACCTTGTCGATGAGCTGCTAACGCCTAAATCACCGTTCTTAACACGTCGGTTTTTTTTTTTCAAATTTTCCTCCTACGCGCTTGAAACTGGGCATTTAGCAGACATTGCGATTTTCATGGATAATATGAATACGCTGTTATGGTATGAAATTGTCCGTACATCAATTGCTATATACTTAGCCGTCGTGTTACCATAATTAGATATTTTTTTTTTTCGTGTGGCTAACCTCCGTAATTCCTCTCTCCGTTCCTCCTCGCCCTCGTCCTCCTCCTTTTCCCCGTGGAAAACTGCTGCGATTGAAATACATGGAACTTCTTTTTTGTTACCGGTATTTTCCTTGTTATTTCTACCATTACTGCTGGTCCTCATCTCATTACCAATGATGTCAGAATTCCTTCTGTTTATGCAGTTGCTGATTAGCCCACACCACCTCGTTATCAGCCGGGCAATATATACGAATCATGATTATCCACTCTGCGTTCGATCCCGGCTTAAGAAATTTGTGGAAGTCGGTTATAACCACAATGTAAGCTATATTGACAGAGGCCATCAGGTAAGAAGAAGTAGGTCTTTAAGACACAACAAGCGAGCTTCGTTTTATTTTTATTGTTTGCTCTCCGTACACATTGGTTGCCTGAGTTCCCCATACAGTAACCGTATTTCATCGTGCGCTTTGCATACGATCGCGAATATTTCGTTTGAACCACGCATCATATACTTTATAGTGCTCCATGACAACTTCATCTATAATTGCAGTCAACGGTTGTTACATCTGAACAAAATGCAATAAATGAATTTCGCCCTCCGAGAGCTCTCAGATGAGAATCAGTACGAGAGGTAGAAACATTTAGATCTGCAGGACTTTTTGCGGAGAAGCTCCCGGCCCTCGGAGGTTCTTGAACTGAGGGGTAAAGTAGAAAGGGGGGGGGGGGGGGGCTCTGTTTACGGGTTTGCTTGCAGCACCCGTCCTGCGGGTCCGGCTAATAAGATTTTTGCTTATATTACACGTTCTAAGGGGCTAGGAGCTCTTTTAATCACTCGACTGGGGGATTCTTGATTGGTGCTAAGGATCTTATCGGCTGAGATTCTCATGTGACGTGGTATAGCGTAGCCTTTGTGGAGCACCATAGCAGTGAAGAATGTACGACAAGGTCAACGTTTTCCTGGGGGTTTAGCAGATCGTTCCTTCTCTGACAAACGCCCCCCCCCTCCTCCACTGCCTACAAACAAACAAGAAAAAAAATTTGGTCAAGTACGCGCCACAGGAAATCGTCAGCTTCTCTAACAATTAAAAACTTAGTCAAATTTGGTCGCGAGGAAAAACTCCTTTGGTCGTGCAAAAAAAAAAATCATTGGCGTGGTAACTTGACCAGTACGCACTATGTGCGTTCTCTTCTGATAGGCTCTTACAATCGGTACGCCAATTCGACCGGGGCGGGACGCAATCACCCGGATCGCCAAGAGAACGAGTAAAAAAACAGAACAAAAATGAAATAGGGAAAAAGTACAAAAGAATAGTAGTAAATATTACGTAGACCTAAATAAAGTTAATAAAGAAATGACACTTTAAATAAACACAGCGATATATAGGAAGATACAAAAATAAATATAACTAGATATGGAATGAAAAATAAATATAGAGCAAGGAAGACCACTAAGCCATGCTCTAATACGGTTGGCCGCTGCAATGCAACGCTGCCCTAGTTTCATTTGTACATATCACAAGAAATATTTCATGAATATAAAGACAATTCTCAAGAACGAATGCTAAATACAAATGCCCTTATCGGCGAACTGCCACTCAGTTTTTGCACTGCCTTCAACTTCTGAGCTCTTAAATGAGGTAACACTCTTTAGATAACAAACCGTTGTTTTGTACCGAAACAAAAGAGAAAGAACTGACGTCTGGTCATAAATGCGCGTCTCACACTTTTGAAGGAGATAACTCATATAGTGCGCCCCGCCACGGTGGTCTAGTGGCTAAGGTACTCGGCTGCTGACCCGCAGGGCGTGGGTTCGAATCCCGGCTGCGGCGGCTGCATTTCCGATGGTGGCGGAAATGCTGTAGGCCCGTGTGCTCAGACTTGGGTGCACGTTAAAGAACCCCAGGTGGTCTGAATTTCCGGAGCCCTCCACTAAGGCGTCTCTCATATCCATATAGTGGTTTTGGGACGTTAAACCCCACATATCAATCAATCAATCAAGCCATATAGTGCTCCTAATCTATGGTGAAGCGAAAAAAACATGCGCATGTGTACAATGAAGGGACAACATTTATTTACACACTCGTGTAGGTTCACGTTTAGAGAAAGAGGTAAAATAACGAAAAAACATCACAGTATTGGAATAAATAAATATATTTTCATTTTAATTACTTTGATTTAGGGCGTTACCCTTTTTCGCATTATTACATCCTTTGACTTCACTCCTGACTCCACATAATATGTTGCTAGAGTTTGTTTTCGAAGAAGTTTCTGATATCGTAATTTCATCACTTATCGAGGGTATGCGAGAGTTCACGTCACCACTCTTCATCGTTACCTTGATATGTACTCATGGCAGTCGTAGTTTCCCCTAGCGAGCGGTATTTCATGCGGCTAAGTACGAAGACGATTATTGAATTTCTCGCCCCGGTGTAACGAAAAAGTTAAAAGGAAGCATTACGCTGTGTGGCAAAAACAAGTACGCAGGTTTTCCCAAGACGGCTAGGAATACTGAAATGTTCATTATTGTGTCCCTATTTCACCCATGTATATGAGAGTCAGAACACTAATCGATGTATGGATGAAAACGCTCGTCGTAAACGTATGGCGCGGAAGAGGGCTCCCAAAATAAATACCTATCATCAGTCTGCTTGTAGCACGACGCTACAATAAAACAAACATGCACATTCCCGCTAGAACAACAATGTCGAGGTTGAGAAAAAAAGGTCCCGGAACCGGAAATTTTAATATGCGTATCCTATAAATTTATAAGTGAGAAACCATATTATAATAGTAGTGAAAATCAGGACAAAGTTCTCGCAGGTATATATGTGCTAAAGCACCGCTCTTGGGCACCTGTTACTTTGTTATGCGGTGTCGCTTTGGCCATCACTTTTACCATTTGTGTCTCCACTGCGTGAACGAGTGCTTGCCAAAGAAATTGGGCAAGCCCGACTACCGTGTACAGCAAATGTGAGTTTCAAAAGAAAACGAAGGATGTTGCCGCATGAGTTGGGCAAACAAAAAGCACTTATATACGTAGGCACTGACTCGCGTTAGACATCAACATAATGTGTCTCACCAGTGTAGATAAGGACTTCACGGTCTGCCATGACAAGTCCGATGCGGTCAGTATGCCATCCGCTGAGTTTCGTTATTTGCACCCTTACACACTGGAATTCGTCACTGCTAAGTGCTACATCATGACAAAGCAGCCACACTTCTTATGAGTCACCGAGCTCAAGGAGCCACATGAAGATCCCATTGCGCGGCGCGTCTCGGTACTGTGCCTTACTGAAACATAGATGCGTCCCAAACAACAGCTCGAAGAGTGTACTACCAGTGCTGTTGTTGCAAGCACGAGGATCACAACTGAGTGACTGAGGTGGCTGTCTGCTTGCGCACGAGTATGTCTGCGAACTTATAGAAAATCGTTGTACCCCAGATGAAGTTGAAGAGCTGTGAACCACAAAGTTGGACGATGGCTTGTTAGTAGTGAGTGCGCACTTTTCTGCGACTACGCTTAAGAAACACCTCACGCAGTTCTTGCACCTAAAATTAACTGCACATTTATTGACACAAATGTTACTTCTGAGTGATTTTATTATTTACATAAATACAAACACACTTTTACCACTTATGCGCAAGTAATATCCTGTTCCTATTCATTGTACCTCTTCCTACTGATTGAATTCTCTCAAGCAACACTTGTATAGACCTCGTTTTTGAGAACACGGCCTTGCTGACGCAAGGCTAATATATTTCCCCTCACTATGTTGCGACTAGGAAATTTACTTTATTACATTAAAGACTGGCAGCCGGGTGTTTTCTGAAAAAGAGCCGCAGAAAATGTGGTATGTGACTGACCATCGACATTCACTTTTTCTCAAGTTGTTGTATCATCCTACAGAAAACTAAAACACCTCAACAGCTACCCCCCAATTCGCAATAGGGGGTGTCGTAATCATCGGTGTTTTTTTTTTTCATTGCAGAACGGAACACGTCGGAAGCGATACTACCGGTGAGTACATGAATGGTTCATGTAAAAATAGTTATGATTGTAAGTTTTTGTTTTTGCAGTTGGCGTAACCTAATGCAATAGGATTGGTAAATCAGATCTTCTTCACAATTTTCATCGCAATTTTTTCATATTAATTAAAATAACGCAAACTAGAGGACAACAAGTAAACACAACGATTACTCACAGTTAACAAGTGTGTTAAAAATATGAAAAGAGAAGATCGCCCACTTCTTCTCCTGTAGTTTGCGCTACTTTCAATAATGTACAATCATACCTACGGGCCCAGCTGTCATCCTTGCTACATTTTGTTTTGCTGTCATACTACAGAGTTATTAGGAGTGAAGATATAAACCATCAATTATCATAAATACTGCGTTCATTGAACTAGTATTTTTACCGTGGATGTGCCCTGTACACGATAATTGCTTACCAGTGGGTCATAAAGCCACCACCACGTATCGCTGAAATTACACTCGTGATTACAGCCATGCTGATAGTTTTCGATTGGGTAGGATACCTGATGCAGAAAGAAAGTGAACGTAAATATAGCTTGTTAATTTAGGAGCGCATAAATGAATTGAATGGTGAGCACTGGCAGCTATGTCTCAGGTAGAGGTATGAAGTTACGACAAAATAGTGGGACCAATCGCAAGAAAATCTGAATGGAAGAAATGCTAACTTAGTGGCAACAATAAACTTCTTTGAAATTTAGACTTTCGTTTTCGAGGTAGGCAAAGGTAAACTATGCAATTCCCAAAGAACAGCTAATACGCCTTGAACCACATGTAGTGCGCTGTTCGTTGTATGTCGCTAAGCAAACTTTAAATTGTAAATGCAAGTTTAGTATTTTTACGCTGATTTGGCCCCATTGTGTGTTACAGTAAGGCATATTCATTAGGAAAATGAACTTTCTACGGATTAAGTGACTTGACACCCTGAATACTGATGAAACACCGAACGTGTGCCTCATAAACAGCGCGGTATAACGTAGAGTGTTCACGAAAATTCCTCAAGTCTGTTGCTTGTCAATAAGCAAGCCACAGCTGCGCATCCCATGGCCCTAACGTCACCTCACCATGCATGCGCTGAGCAGCAGCCAGCGCCAAGGCACGACTACTAATGAAGACAAAACGTGCAGCTTGAGGTACGCCCTCACTCGCTTCTCGCACGAGCGGTATATAGTGAGGCAGTGGTCCGGCATGCCGTGAGCTTAGTACGAGCTACTGTGTTTGTACCAGGGTGCCACAGCCATGCTCACGCGTGAGAAATGGCACCAGAGTTTGGAGATTTCCGCAATAGTCTGGGATCGGTTGTAGTTCGACTCCACTCGATTTATGCGAACGAAACACCTAGCATCAGCCAAGAAGGTCACTTTAAGCCCTTATTCTCTCAACTGCTTTGAAAGCAGACCTTGTTTTGGCCCAAACTGTCACGAAACTGCTTTGGACGAGTGAAAATCATGCTAATGGATAACTCCCCTGTAGCGTTCAAGCGGAGACGCGCGCATTTAAGGGTTGATTGCGCGTCATCCACAAGATAGCAGCAGTCACTCGAGAATTTATTTTCTTTTGCAACCAGAGCACGGTTTTTGTATTGAAAGACGGCGTGCCGTGGCGGCGACCCATACATAGTTGGCCCGTGAAAATGTTGAAGAAGCCATTCTTTTTCTTCGTTTTCTTCAAATTATATTGATTGGAGTACATTTATCCTGTGTTCGGGGGAGAAGCCAGCAATTACGGTGATTGAGTAGCTTCTCCGGGGATGATGAAGATAGCTTAGACGCGAACAAAGTGAGTGCTTGCCAGTGAAGCCGCTTTGCGTTATTTCGCATTATGAATTGTTCCACAAAGCCCCGAAGCATCTCGAGTAGAATAAACCGAAGCTACTCAGCCTACACAAGTGAAGAAATGTCTGCAGCTGTGTTGTTTGTGTTGTCTTTGTTTTATAACAGCAGGCAGCGGGTTTCCTATGCATTGTTCAGAAATAAACTATTTTCCGTTGATTCGACTAAGTATGTCGAAAAAATATTTTTACCGTCGACTAGATACCTTTTACTACAATAAGAATCGAATTCTGCAATAAAAATAGGAACTTTTTGACCAGACTAAATGAGTGGTTAAGGGGTTATTGTCAACTAGCTTTGCATAACACGCCTAGTGTAAACTTTTTCATTTCACAAAGAATTTAGGTTAAGAGAACGCAGTCACTTATTTCATTGAAAACTGTGTATGACCAGGACAACCGAAAATACGTCGGGCAGCGTTGTCACGAGTGGTCTCCTTTATCTGTGTTATCAGTTACGTCATTCACAGTGTACCCAAGCACGCATGCGTTTAGCCGCGTTGTTAGTAAAGTTGTCCACCCCGTCGCAGCCGCATCGCCAAACGCTCGCACATTAGTCTCTTCTGAAGCCTTCCCATGTGTGTGCCACGTGCAACTCTGAAGAGCGCTGGCAGTGGAAACGTGAAAGAGCTCGCATTGGCGGGGTTGATTGTGCAGTTCTGGCACAAAAACAGGTCTGGGAGAACCAGTGCCTCCAACAACTGTGTACCAAGGATCCGGCAACCTTCTAAGCCATGGTAAATCACGAACGGGAATGCAAGCGCCGGTGGCAAGCGGGTCCTGCAAGCCACGCCGCCGAGTTAGCTTGCGATGTCAAACGCTTGCAACAACGCCACGCCGGACAATAAATCCGTGGTCTTGGAAGAAAGAAAAAAAATGTACCTTATTCTTTTCTGCTTATAGGCGACACTGCGCATTGCTATGCCGAACAAGTGGTGCTGCGGCATTGACAATCATGCGGAAGCTGCTTCCGCGGGCCGGGGGGGGGGGGGGGTGGACGTTTGCTTTCGGCAGGAGTTTCTCTATTGGCCCTTTGACTTCGGCTGCCACGTCTGCGATCACCTGTGGTTTGAGAACAACTACTGTGAATAACGCATTGCAAAACGCACTGATCTGCTCATTACAAAACTTCGTTACAGTGATCATGCTGGGTGCATTAAGCGGCATGTGAATTGAACACTGTGGTAAATGCAAGGATTGATTGATATATGGGGTACAACGTCCCAAAATCACCATATTATTATGAGAGACGCCATAGCAGGAAACTGCAGAAATTTCGACCACCTAAGGTTCTTTAAAGCACACCCAAATCTGAGAACATGGGCCTACAACACTTCCGCCTTCATCGGAAATACAGCCGCCACAGCCGGGATTCAATCCCGTGACCTGCGGGTAAGCAGCCGACTACCTCAGCCACTAGACGCTGTTGTGAAACGCCACCGCCAAGCCCAGAACTCTGGTGTCCCAATCTCCTATACACGCGCGCGTCAATCTCGACCATTCACTGGGTAGCACCTCTGAAAGCGATGGCAGAAGTCAGTGCAGGTGATTATCTTACGGCAACCGTACGTTTTCTCAGTGCAAGAAATGCCATCGCATTTCCTCGCGATTCTCTTCGGGGAGGCGGGGCCATTTTTACTGTTTTAAAGAAGATAGCCTTTCTTAGGATACCTCAGCACAAAAATTTTGGTCTGTCTGTCTATTCGTTTGTCTATTTGTTCACCGAAACGATACAAGCTTTCAGTGTTGATACTTGTACAATTGTCAATTAAAAGTAACTATTGCGCATAGCTGATGTACAATAACAGCACGTCAATATTCTGTGGTGTCTTTTTGTACTAGAGATCGCACACATAAGTATGTTTGAGGAGCTTAGAGACTCGCTCTCTGGAGTTCGTGCCGACCGGTTGTGCCCCCTGTTATGACCGGGGTTCGCAGGCACCGGAGGTCCGGGATGAAGATGTCGAGAAAGGAGGAAGAGAGACTTGAAGAGGGTTTATTCACATTATATACAAAGTGAGCTCTCGTACACGACGAGCTGTTTCTTACATGGCGAGATTTTTAATCTCGTGCTCCTCTACATGACGCTACTACGAATGAGCCGGGTGGCTTATTATAAAGGGTAAATTCTCCCCAGATCCCTAGATCAGGGAAAAAGTGCAGATCTTACTGTGTAATCACACACAACTACCCAGAGTGAAGAGCAAGCATGGCCCACAAGAACGTCCAATGTTGAGGCGTGACCCTGCACTCCAAGGTGGCGCCAGTGGCGCTCTTCCCCGTCGTGTGTTTGCCGCTGGTTGAGGGGTCTCAAGCTCATGTCAGCTTATATCTAAGGGTCCGCCGAACTGCTCGCTTAATTAGCGGGGCAATTTCCGGCGGCCGCTGCGATCTCTTCCAAATAGGATGCTGTATTTGTTGTCCTCTCTCGAACAGCTTACGGCGTCGTGGCGATACGTCGTCTCACTCTCAGGCTAGGAGGTAAAATACCTGGCGGGCATAGGCAGCCGGCTTGTCGGCTACTTGTTTGAGGATTAAAAGAGCGCAGCTCCCTCGTCAGCCCTGGCGTCAGTCACAATGGCTTTCCCCTCGCCAGATGGGTCACTGAGGGCAGCTGTCACCACTGCTGCTCGAAGGGACAACGAAAGGGTCCGTGGTTGAATGCCAGGAATTCGCCTTCACTTGTCGCGTTGTCTGAGTAACTGCCGAAAACTTTGACAGCATCCTTGAAACTCGGTCACATGCACAAGCAAGCACTCGCCCGCCTCGAACAAACCAAGCCAAAAGAGAGATGGCAAACCAATTTTCAATACTAGCTTGAACAAAAAGTTTGAACTCATAACTATCAGGACTCACTTGCGCTGAGAAACCATACGTGCTACCTTACATATTGCACATCATAAGTTGCACGAAAAACAAACAAACTGAGATATCAATTTTGATACATCAACAGCACCCCTATAGCTTAGAAAGAGTGGGTGAGCGTGTCAGCGCTTCCATTCAGTTTGCTCATATACCTAATGTCAAAATGATATTTTTGAAGAATCAAGCTCCACCTCAAAAGGCGACCGTTCTTCGATGTCACGGTTTGCAGCCATGAAAGGGGACAATGGTCTTTGTCTACTTTAAATTTAGCCCTCCTGAGATAACACTGCCAC